AAGACTCCCCTAGAGGTAAAGCCTAAAACTCTGGAATCAAAAGGATTTACTACCACCCAGACTTAGCTTTATGGGAGAGATTAATTCTATCCTGGGAAACAAACCTGACTGTGTTAAACCACTGTTAGTGAAGTATACTCGAAGTACAGCCCCAAACTCCTGAAAAAGTAAGACTTTACAATAAGGGCCAATGGAGAAAACAAGGAATGAAATGTTACCATTTTAAGGAAAGAAAACAATCAAGACTCCCTCCATGAATCAACACTGCTTACTGCCTCATCAGGGTTACTGAGAATCACGAGTTGCTGATGAACAAAGAAACTAAGGGACTTCTACCAAGACAAAGCAAAAGCAAAGCAAAATATGAGTAAAATTCAAAAGGACTCTGCGCTGCAAGTTACAGCAAACTGCCTTCTTCCAACACTCGACTCCATCAACCTAAATAAGTCTGTTTATCTCAGATGTCTCTCGTTGATGAAAAAATATGAGATCTACAATTCTCTGTTACTGAAGGAACCATATGGCTCTCTTCACTTCTGTACCGAGTCTTTACACGGAAACCATCCGTTTTAAGCAATGGTTTCCACACTACCCACAGTTAGGGAAATGCCAGTGTACCACATTTAAGAGTGGATGGGTTTTCCACTCTTCTGCTGCAAGATCCACACTGGCCTCAGATGTCCATGCGGAGACCAGTTGCATTTTCTCAATGGATATGAAAGCAGCTGCAAAACAGACGGATGTCCTCACTCTCACAGAAATGTTACTCAATGCTTAGATGCCTGGGGACATCTCCAAAGTGAGGTACCATCTCCCTTCACAATTCCTAGGACTAAAGCCAATTAGAAAGAAGGGAAGTTACGAGATGGCCAAGTGAAAACTATGTGAAAATCCATCGATCTACTGGATATATGTCTGATAGGGCTGATAGATGGTCACCCTGCGGCCAACTGTCCAGCACAGAGCTGCCCAAGGCAACCTTCAGTGGTGAAAGTAATTTCTCTATCTCCACTGTACAATATAGTGCCACTAGCTGGAAAGCAGCTGAAGCAAAGATAGTGTGACCAAGGAAGAGAAGTGATAGCACAGCGGGTAGGGCGTTCGCCTTACAAGCGGCCAACATGGCCGACCCGAGTTCGATTCCTCCGCCCCTCTCCGAGAGCCCGGCAAGCTACCGAGAGTATCTCGCCCGCACGGCAGAGCCTGGCAAGCTCCCCGTGACGTATTCGATATGCCAAACACAGTAACAATAAAGTCTCCAATGGAGACGTTACTGGGCCCGCTCGAGCAAATTTTTAATCTCATCTAATTGAAATTTAAATGCCGCATGTGGGCCTGGGAGATGAGTCAAAGCAGTGCGGTCAGTACATGTTCTACATGCAGAAGCCGCAGGTTCGGTCCCCTCCACTGCCACCACCCACACCAGTTACTCCAGCTCCACCCAGGAGCAGCCCCCCAAGTACCACTACTGTGATCCCTAATTCACATAAAACCAACCATAAAAAGGCACAGGTGGCTCACAGATTGTACACTCCACAGCACAGGTCACAGTGGTTCTCAAACTTTCGATGCCTGGGCACTAGTGCTGGCACATGGAGCAGCAGATGAAAAAAAAAATCTAGAATGCTTAAGAAGCCAGCTGAAAAAGGCTCAGGGGCCTAATGCTTCCACAATCAAAAGGCATTTCCTAATCACATTCTACCTGGTTAGAACATGTAAAATACAGAAGTATCAACATCGCTTTCCTTTTACTGTAAACAACAACAAACATAATAGTGAAATAATTAAGGTTTTAAATTTTTCCATAATTCAAAAATCTTTACCTGCTGTATTTGGTTCAAACCTTTGAACCAAATACAGCTAAAGACTTTTAACGTGTCTAAGATGTTTTTTTTTTTTTTATTTTTTGGGGGGGTCAGACCCAGCGATGCACAGGGGTTACTCCTGACTCTGCTCAGGAATTACTCCTGGCGGTACTCAGGGGACCATATGGGATGCTGGGAATTGAACCCGTGTCAGCTGCGTGCAAGGCCAACACCCCATGCACTGTGCTATCACTCCAGCCCGTGTCTAAAAATTTTTAGCTTATTTGGGGAGAGGCGTGTTCTCTTCCTAGGAACAATAAGTCCTTTGATCTAATTTCACTTTTAAGACCTTCGTGGGAAAAACCACCTGTAAACAAAATCCCCAAGTGCTCTTATAAAACGTGAATTCCAAGAGCAACTGTGTGGAAACAGGGGTGGGAGTATGGTGGGGGAGGGTGTGGTCGGTGTTAAACAAAATACATCGGAAAAGTTTTAGTCTGACTTATGATATTCATCCCATCCATATTCCTCCAAGTTTCCAATACTAGCATGCTTGACATACAGGTTCTGGATGAATACTTGTAGCTTTAAGCATTACACACTTCACCTTTAAATTGCAGAGCAAGAGGCCGGAGAGAGAGCACAGCACGCGGGACGTTTGCCTTGCACACTGCAGGCCCGGGTTCAATTTCTGGCACCCCAAATGGCTCCCCAAGCCTGCTGGGAGTGATCCCTGAGCACAGAGTCAGGAGTAAGGGCTGAACATTGCTGGGTGTGGTCCAAAAACCAAAACCCAAAAATAAAAATGGCAACACATTCTAAAGAAATGTCATCTAGGGATGAAGGGCTGCAGCAAAGACAAACTACACTGAATTATTCGCAGTGTTCTTTCTAAAGTGTCTAACCACTATGCTCAATGCCCCTGAATCTCCTTAAACATAAACTGGCAGCGTTTATGGGGGGTGTGGGGAAAGTGCTGGGAATTGAATCCAGGTCTTCATATCACAAAATGGAAACGCTTTTAATGAAGGATGTCTCACAAACCCCAAGTTACAGGGGAAAATGTAACTAGGATGGAAAACACGTGACAAAACTAGAGAGCTTAATAAGCCATGGTTAGAAACTCAAAAGCGACTTCAGATCAAACACCCTTTACTTCTGACAAACGGCTTCCAGGGCAGAGCTCCAGGCAAGGCTGCAAGTGTGGTATGAAAGGCAGTAAAGCTGGTGCATGTGGTGCTGCCCCCCCCCCCCCCAGCAGAGTCACTTTTTTTGGGGGGGGGGAGGGGAGCTTTTTGGGTCACACCTGGCGATGCACAGGGGTCACTCCTGGCTCTACACTCAGGAATTACTCCTGGAGGTGCTTGGGGGACCAGATGGGATGCTGGAAACCGAACCCAGGTCGGCCGTGTGAAGGTAAACGCCCTACCCACTGTACCATCGCTCCAGCTCCCAGACAGTTTATAGCAGCTGCAGATGGCAGCCTTAGTCTTCACCGAACAGTTTGAATAAACGCAGAAATTTGCAAAAAAAAAAAAAAAAAAGAGAGCTAGCACAAATCCAAATTGACATGACAACGGAAATTAAATATAAGTTCTAAAGCTCAGAAAGTCTGTTTGACCAACACCAAAGGATCAAAGACCCACCAATTTTGGGGGGGAGGGAGGCAGGGGTTCAGGAGCGAGTTCATAGGGAATGTCTGTGCAGCCGTTATATGCCCCCCCCCCCCCGAGATAAAGTGGTTTAATAAAACTCAATCTTTTACAAAATGTAAATTATCATGGAAGTTGCCATTCTGGACCAAAATTGGAACCAGAGATTATTTCAGGTACTGCATTTTCACAGAAGTGAGCACAAGTTCCAGGTGTCTGCAGGATCCTCCCCTTCCACCCCTCACCCCCTTGGTGAGTCAGAGACTAGTGACACACTTGGAGGGAAGGAGAGAAGACTGGGAGAAAAACGAGACTGCTGTATCTGAATGTCTGTTGCATGCTGATAAGGAATAGAGTTCCAGCACGTGGGGACATGGAACAGAAAGAACTGGGAGGCCGATATACCAGGAAGAAAACCACAGTCGAAGATCAGAGTTGCGCCTAACTGGACAGAGCCAGCTGGACAGGTAGCAAGTGCCTCGAGACTGAGGCCCAGAACCGATGACCCTTTTGGTGTCCGCCTCAGCAGGAAGTTACCGTCCGGTGACCCCCCTCTTCCCAGCCTCTCCTGCACTGGACAGCAGTCAGCCTCGCAGACCCCAGCTCTTCCCTTTCCTTCTCTCCAAGAAATCCCATCAGAATGCAAATTAGAGCATTAACAACTGGCATTACAAAGACAGGCAATCCAGCTCTCATGTGTCCTTTAATAAAGTTCATCTACCGAATTCAGTGCTCAGGGACCCGATAGTCACTCATGTGATACTGAGAGTTGGGTGATTACCTTGCAGTGACACCTGGGACAGGCCTCTCAGACGCACTACTCAAGGGCTGTGACTCTCTGTCTCTTCCCTAAAGCTAAGCAGCTCCCCGCCAATCCCACTACGCTTTCGGGTCACACCTGTCAGTGCAGAGCAGACCCAGCACCCTGGGGCTCTAACTCGGCCGGCTCCAGTCCTCCGCCTGGCCTGAAACATCATTCTTCACTTTACTGGGTGCACAGGCTGCAAACTTCAAGATTCACTTCAATTCTTGAGGTGAGTCTGAGCCTTTCCTTCCTATTTTTGCAAAGTTTCCAACCAAGAAGCCTAGAGGGGAAGTTCTTCGAATACGGGTGTCTCGAAGAAGCTCGCCCAGCCTCCCCAATCGGAGCAGGAGGCTGTGGTCGGGAGGTGGCAGGGAAAGGAATCATGATGAGTGGCAAACACACCACACCCTTCGACGTCCACCAAAAGACACAAGCCCACAGCTCCCCGCGCGGCCGACCACCCCACAAGTCAAACTGTCAAATGAGAGCACAGTCCACAAAGCACTGTCAGAACCTGCTCTCCAGAGATGGGGTGGGCTGCAAATGCCCCTCGCGGGGAACCCATCTGCCCGCAGGGCGCAGGCTCGGAGCCGGCCCAGGCGCCCACCAGGGCTCCGTGCAGGGAACCCGAACCGCCACCCTAGTGGGGTGGTCCTCAGAAAGGGAGGCCACCAAGGGCCAAGCAGACCCCTTCGCCTGCATCCCACCCTCCCGGCTGGGCCCCCGACACCGGCGTACCTTTCTGCACGTGGATGATGTCCGGGAAGTTGGCCAGGTGGCCCTGGTAGAGCGCCAACAGGTCCATGACGGGGTCCAGGTCCTGCCTGGGCTGGTCGGCGAAGAGCTCGCCGATGGCGTCGTAGGCGTCCCCGGTGAAGGCGATGGCCTGGTTCAGGCCGGCCGAGAAGGCCTGCTGGTCCAGCTCGAAGGCCTGGCTGAGGCCGCGGAAGGACTGGCCCACCTTCTGGTACTCCTTCTTGAAGCCCGTCACCTGCTTGCGCGCGAACTCGTTGGCCGTGTGGTTGAGCTGCAGCGCGCTGTCGTCCATCTTCTTGGTGAAGCTCTTGAAGCCGTCGATCCTGCTCTCCACCTCCTGCAGGTCGAGGGCGGCGGCGGGCGGCGTGCTGAGCGTCAGGAAGAAGTTGGCGCCCACCATCTCGTCCTTCTCGGCCTTGCGCTTGCCCTGCTTCCAGGCCTTCTCGTCGGTGCCGCTGGGGCACGTGAGGAAGTGCTGGAAGACGTCGCACTGCGCCAGCACCGGGTGGCTGGCCATGTGGTTCATCCACCAGAGGAGGCCCTTGCGGCGCTTGGAGATGAAGTCCTCCTCGAAGCGGCCCGTGGCCTGCTTCTCGGGCAGGTGGGGCACCGAGATGACCGGGAACTTCTCGGCCAGGCGCGCGTACAGCCAGTCGAAGTGCTTGTAGCGCCGGTGCACGGGCACCTGCGTGTGCGTGGGCACCAGCTTGTAGGAGATGTAGCTCTTCATGCCCTTGAACTTGGTCTGCTTGGTGGGGTCGTCGATGGTGCACTGGAAGGGGTAGGGGTTCTCCTGCCACTCGGGCCCGTAGGGGCCCAGCACCACGCACAGCTTGTCGCCGTCCTTCACGAAGCCCGACGCCTCGCCCAGCACGAAGGCCTCGCCGCCGGACTTGACGAAGGTGGAGAAGCGGTTGAGGTTGCGGCTCACCGTGGCCGAGCTCTTGGCGCCCCCGGCCGGGGGGTGCTGCTGGTGGGCGTGGGGCGGCGGCGCGGCGCCGCCCCGCGAGCCCAGCGACAGCTCGGAGCGCGTGGACAGGCGGTAGCGGCCGGCCGCGCCGTCGAGGTCCGGGTAGGCGCCGCCGCCCAGCGCGCCGGGCTCGTCGGCCACGGTGGAGCTGTCGTCCCACTCGTCGTCCCAGTCGTCGTCGCTGCCCTGGCTGGCCTGGTAGCCGCCGTAGGGCGGCTGCGGCGACGGCTGCGGGGCGGCCCCGCCGAACGGGAAGCCCGCGCCGGGCGGCGGCTGGAAGGTGCTCGGCGGCGGCGCGAAGGCGGCGGGCGGCGCGGCGGGCGCGGGCGCGGGCTCGAACCCCCCGGGCGGCACGTTGGCGTAGCGGGCCGGGCCGGCGGGGGCCCCGTCGCCCGCCGGGCCGGGCTCGGGGGCGCGGATCACCTGCACGTACGAGGCCGGGAAGAGGCCCCGGTCGCCGCGGCTGTTGATGCCCTCGAGCCAGCCCTCGATGTCCTGCTCGCTGCACAGGCTCAGCAGCTCGTGCTCCCGCAGCGAGATCTCGCCCGGGTTCTCCGACCTGAAGTCGTACAGCGCCCGGGCGCGCAGCGCCATGGTGCCGGCGTCCCCCGCCCCGAGCGCGCGCCCCGCCTCCCGGAGCAGCCGCGAGCCCCCGGCCCGCCCGAGGGGCCCGCGGGGGGTGCCCGCGCCCCGCAGCACACAGGGGAGCGCCCCGGCGGCTCGCGCCCAGCCTCCGGCCCGGCCCTCCGCTCGCCGCCGCCGGCGCCCTCCGCGCCGCTCCGCTCGCAGCGCCGACTGCCGCCGCCGCCGCCGCCGCCGCCGCCGGCCGGGGGCGTGGCCCGCGGCCTCCCACGTCCCCAGCTGCGCTAATCCACGGCCGAGAGCCGCGCGCCAGGCGAGAGCAGACGATGACCGAGCCGCGGCGCCCGCCCTCCGCACTCCGCGGGGCTACTGCCCCCGCGCGGCCAGCGCCCGGCAAGAGCGGCGGCGGGGTGAGCGCGGCCGCTCAGCTCCGTGGACAAATCGACAACTGAGCTGGGGATGCTTTGGGCTCTTTCGGCTTCGACGCGTAGCGAGTCAGTCAATGCTTGTGTTGGTTTTTGTTTTTTTTAGTCTTGAAGAGTCGTGATTTAGAATGTTATTCATAGTTGAGTTTTAGGCGTGTGATGTTCCAGATCCAGATCCTGCCGCCGGTGTCCCCGAGTTCCCTCCCACACCCTGGGCATCCCGCCAGCCTGCCACCTACCTGGACAGGCACGCTTTCAAATTTGGTGCCTGTAGTTTGGATCTTATGTTTCCAGTGTTGATGTTTGCGGTTCAGATGTATAGCTATTCCTCTCCTCTACACCCCCCTCCCATGGACCAGAAGCCCTTGACCCCTGCCCCACCCCACCCCCACTCTAATTTTCCTTAAATTTGCATTTCTGCCAAACGTTTCCACTCAGAGCACTCGGTGAATGCCCCTACAAGGCCCAGTTGTCTAATAAAGGAATTGTCAATAAATTATACTGATAGTAGCGGAAGAAAGGCAGGACGCTTGTACCAGGTAGAGATCGGCACGTTGTTTCAGAAGGGCCTTTTTCTCTTCTACCCTCCAGGGCTTTTTGGTAAAAAGAGAAGAATGACCGAAGAAAGCAAGGAAGGTGCTCTGTTCTTCCAATTAAGAGCTGAAGGGTAGTGTCGGAAGGGAGAGTTTGCAATAAAGGAAGTGTGCACAGAGCCGTTTGTCCCTGTCCCTTCCCGGAGGAGGTAAGCAGAGGTAAGACTCAGAGCTCTGACTTCGCGTGCTGTATGGCCTTGAGCAAGTCACTAACTGTACCTACCCTCCAGGCTGCTTGTGGAGACAACAAAATAATATGCCCTATTTTATAGATGAGGAAAATGAGTGAAAAGTTACTATATGGCTAACTGTGCGTGTAGTATGCCCAGTTTAAGTATTTTCTGACTAAAACAGCAAAAAACAACTCTGTCCTACAGGAAGTGAGTTAGGATCCTCAAACCCCAGACCTGAGTATGAGCACTGAGTATGGATCCCAGAAGTCTGCGATCAGTAGCCATCCCTCCCCATTCATCTGTCTCATTACATTTATGTCATTTTTGAGATAAGTGGATTAAAAATCACTTCCTGCAATATTCATCAACTCTACTCTCCCCCAATTGCCCTGTCTCACTTCTTTTCCTTCCCTGTCTAATTTGCCCAAAGCCCTTTCTTCTCACAATCCCCCCTTATTAAGTCTAGCCTAATTATTCCTTTGAAGACACCTCTAATTGGGATTCAGCATTCACTTGTCATTACTTTCACCCTGTCCTCTGACCCTTTTCAAGCAAAGCCGGGAAACAGGCCAGAAGAGTATACAATTATTTTAAGGGCTGCGGTATTCTAAGCATCCTGCACAAAACTGCCAACCCAGTGTACCAGGATTTCTCCCACAGTGTTTATGCCTGATTCAAGACCCTAATTCAATTCAGTAAGCAAAATGTAAAATGCAATGTCTTTAGCTACAAATTCTAGGATAATACAATTCTCCCAGGAAGCAGACAGGTCACTGAATTTCAATGTAAACAAGATAGGTGGTCAGGAAAGAAATGGAATTCGCATTTACAAAATAACTATAACAATTAATATTACTTATCTAAGCATGTGGTGCTAGTAGAAATGTATTTCTTTAAGATAAATACATTTATGTTAAATGAATTTAAGATACATTGAGTTTCAGTCTTATTATTCATCTGGTAGTTTCTTTGTAGTAGTTGATTTTACACTTACACTGCTTAAAGCATTTGAAAAGGGGGAGAATAAAAGTATGTTTAAGGTGTGAAAGTTTCAAGGGGTAATGGCATTTACAGACAAGCTGAACTGCTCTTCGGAAAGGGGGTGGAGGAATTACAGGGGAGTGGGGAGGGGGTTGCAAGCCTGCTGGAATACGCCTCCAAGGGCTTCCAACTTTATGAAGGACAAGATCAGGTTTCCCATATAGCACTCAAGGGGCAAGATAAACTCTAAACATCTAGAGTCTTGGATCTCTAGAAAGAAGTGGTTGTGCAGTAAAGCACTTGCCCTGTGAAGCATGAGACGTGGATTTGATCTCCTGCATCACCGACACATCAAAAAGAGAAAAAAAAGTGTCTGAGTATTAGAAACTCTAAGCTTTTACTCAGGGAAATAGATAGAGCCATGCATATTTTAAAAGATTTCTCTAGAAATGAAGTACATTGTTTATCATTTCATTTACACAGTCATCAATGATTCTATTCCAGAATGCAAGCATCAAAGACAAATCATGGGGCACAGTCGGCAGTCCCAGACCGAAGCAGTTGAAATGTCTTCCCAAAAGAGGCAGTTGCTTGCCTCAGTGGTGCCTCTTTTTCCATCCCTCTCTTCAATTAGCAAGAAGCCACAAGGCTTTACTTGCTATTTTTGGAACAAACCAAGTATTGTGCCTCAGATATTTTTCTAACATAAATGTCATTTTCCTTTTTTTAGAGAGAATTATTTTCAGCAAAATTGAGCCAAGAATGATTTCCCAGATAGCCCCTTACCTGACTTTATGGCCTTCCTCATTAGCAACGGACACTGCCATCTGGCCAATCGATGAACCCACACTGACACTTGTCATCGTTCAGAACCCATCAGTTACACTGGCATTTACTCCTGGTGTTATACATTCCATGGGTTTGGACAAATACATAGTGACCGATAGCCATCGTTAAGTGTTCTCAGTACTCTGCCTATTTGCTTTTTTATTTCCCTCCACCCTAAACACTGGTAATCATGGATCTTCATATTTTTTCCCTTTGCCATAGCACAGCGGTAGGGCGTTTGCCTTGCACGCAGCCAGCCCAGCAGAGCCGGGTTCGATTCCTCCGCCCCTCTCAGAGAGCCTGGCAAGCTACCGAGAGTATTCAATATGCCAAACACAGTAACAAGAAGTCTCACAATGGAGACGTTACTGGGCCCGCTCGAGCAAAATCGATGAACAACGGGAGGACAGTGTAGTGTAGTTTGCCATAATGTCACAACTTGGATTCATTTGGTGTGTAACATTTTTAGATTTTTTTCTCTTACTAATATGCATTTTCGTTTACTCCATATTAAATAGTATTGAGTTTTTCCCCCCTCTGAATGATATCCCCTTCTCTGTACTTACTGAAATTTATTTAACCACCCACCAAACTGAAAAACATCTTGGAAAAACATCCAACATTTTGGAAATTATGACAAAAAGATAACATAACATCTCTATCAAGGCTTTGTGTAGATATGCTTTCAACAAATTTAGGTAAAAGTAAGCTTATTGCTTGCTAGGTTCTTTGGTAAGAGTTTGCTTAATTTTATTAAAAAACAAACACCAAACTATCAATATGACTTTACAGTTTGCATTCCCAACAGCAATGGAGTTCCTGCGACACTACTTCTTCCTCAGCTTCTGATGCTGGTGTTCTGGGTTTGAGCCATTATAAAATGTGTCTGTTATATTTTGCATTGCCTGATGAAATAGGATGAGAAACTTTTCACATACTTATTTGCTATCTGCTTATATTCTTTGGTGAAGTGTCTATTAAGATCTTTGGCTCTAATTTTTAAATTAGGCTTTTGTTTTGCTATTCTTTAGGTTTTATGTGTTTTTTTTTGTTTTTTTTTTTTTGCTTTTTGGGTCACACCCGGCGATGCTCAGGGGCTACTCCTGACTCATGCACTCTGGAGTTGCTCCTGGCAGTGCTCAGGGGACCATATGGGGTGCTGGGAATCGAACCTGTGTCGGCCATGTTGGCTGCGTGCAAGGCAAACGCCCTACCCGCTGTGCTATCGCTCCAGCCCCAGGTTTTATATGTTTAAGATATAGGGTTTTTTTCTTTTTTGGTCACACCTGGCGATGCATAGGGATTACTCCTGGCTCTGCACTCAGGATTTACCCCTGCCAGTGCCCAGGGGACCATATGGGATGCTAGGAATCAAACCCGTGTTGGCTGTGTGCAAGGCAAATGCCTGCTGTGCTATCGCTCCAGCCCCAAGATATAGTTCTTTACATGAAGAATATCATGCTGAGTGAAATGAGTCAGAGGGGGAGGGACAGACATAGGCTGATAGCACTCATCTGTGGGATCTGAAAAGATATAGTATAAGACTAATACCCAAGGACAGTAGAAACGAGGGCCAGGAGGACTGGTAAATTGTTGGAAACGTGCCACAAATAGAGGGGTGGAATCAGAGCTGGGGGAGGCAGTTAAGGCAGAGAAAAGACCACTATGACAATGATAGTTGGAAATGATCACTCTGGACAAGAATTGAGCGCAGAAGGGAAGTTAAGGGATATATATGCTAACCTTTGAGTATCTGTATTTTAAATCACATTATACAAAAGGGGAGAGAGAGAGAGAGAGAGAGAGAGAGAGAGAGAGAGAGAGAGAGAGAGAGAGAGAGAGAGAGAAGTGTCTACCATAGAGGCAGGCTGGGGGAAACATGATGGCGGGAAGGAAACTGGGGACATTGGTAGTAGAAAATGTATACTAGTGAAGGACAGATGTTGGAACATTGTATGACTGAAACCCAATAAAGGTAAGGTAAAGGCCCTCCCGTTGATCGTCGATTTGCTCGAGCGGGCCCAGTAACGTCTCCATTGGAGACTTTGTTGTTACTGTGTCTGGCATATCGAACACTCTCGGTAGCTTGCCGGGCTCTCCGAGAGGGGCGGAGGAATCCAACTCGGGTCGGCCATGTTGGCCGCTTGTAAGGCGAACGCCCTACCCGCTGTGCTATCGTTCCAGCCCAACCCAATGATGAACTATTTTGTAATTGTGTATCTTATGGTAATTCAATACATAAATCAGCAAATAAAAGATATTATCTGTTCTGGAAAAGGACTATATTCCTTTATCAGATATATATTTTGGAAATATTTCTTCCACTCTGTGAATTGTCTTATGTTATCTTGACATTATCTTTCCTAGAGAATAAGTTTTCATGTTGTTTTTGGGCCACTCCAGTGGTGTTCTGGGACTCTGGGACTCCTCCTGTCTCTGTGCTCAGAAATCACTCCGAGCAGATCTCAGGGGACTGTATGTGGTGCCAGGGATGGAACTTGGTTGTCAGCTTGCAAGGCAAGTGTCTTATCTATTGTTATTTCTCTCTGGCTTTCAAGAAGTTTTACATTTTAATGAAGTCCAGCTTATCACTGATTTCTTTCATGAATTGAGCCTCTGGAGTTATATCTAAAATGCCATTATCATGTTCAAAGTGACCTAGGTTTTCTCCTATGTTATTTTCTAGGAGATTGGCAGTTTTTCACTTTATATTTAAGACTTAATGCTTTACAATTAGCAGAGAGATGAGGTTTATATCTAGATTTTGTTTTCTTGCATATATCACGATCACGACCATCCTGTTGTTCGTCGATTGCCTCAAGCAGGCCCCAGTAACGTCTCCTTCATCCTAGCCTTGAGATTTTTTTAAATAAAAAGTGCCATATTAGAAGCTCTTCCAGGGTTAAGAGAATGAGACCTATAATTGTTACTGGTATTTGGCATATTGGATACACCACGGGGAGTTTGCCAGACTCTGCCATGTGGGCAGGTTACATTCGGTAGCCTGCCATTTTGTCCAAAGTAAGAATGAGATAATAAGGTGTCGCATGGCCGCGAATGCGGCTGCGTGCTTCCAGGAGCTGGGTTTATAGTCTCTGGGTCTTGGCCATTGATGGGATTACACGGCACCAGGGGGCCAGTTGGTGGGTGTGACCCCTACCTACTGGAATTTGGAGGATCTGGGTGGAGGATGCTCAGCCCCGATCTGAGCAGGCATAGAGATCTCAGCCCCGGGACCCGCATGCCTTTGTTCCTCTGCCAGTATCTTCATGCATGTGGAAAGTGGTCTCAGCATGGTGTTGGCTGGTTCTGGAGGTCTTCGGCTGCCAGAGCCCTGGCTGGTGCGGGGAGGGAAACTCAACCTGCTCCCCTCCAAGGGGCCCCCGCGAGGACAGTCAGGCACGGGGGCAGGAGACTCTGCATATATATATGCCAAGTTATTCCAGAGTCATCTGTTGAAAAGTCACAGAGTCTGAGATAACTCAACGAGCTGAGTGCAAGCTTTGTATGCAGGACGTCTGGGTTTGATCCCTGATACCGCATGGTACCCATGAGCACCACTCAGGAACAAACCCAGAAAAGTTCCTGATGTGGCCCATGTGTAAAAAAAATAATGTAATAAAATAAAATTTAAAAGAAAGAAAAAGACTTTTTTCTCCTCTGTCAAGGATCAGTTGGCTGTATTTGTGTAAATCCATTTCTGGGCTGTCTATTCTATTCCATTGTTTAGTTTTTCTGTTGTTTTGCCAGCCAGTTACACATTGCTCTGATCTTTGTAGATTTTTAGCAAGCCCCGAAGTTGCATTTTAGCAATCCTCTAATTCAGTTATCCCTTAAGATCATTTTGTCAATGTTTGTAATCTGAGTCATTTGCCTTTGTTTACAAACTTCACAGTTGCTTTGTTTACAAACTTCACAGTTTGCCTTTGTTTTTTGTTTGTTTGTTTGTTTGTTTGTTTTGCTTTTTCGGTCACACCCAGTGATGCCAGGGTTTACTCCTGGCTCTGCACTCAGGAATTACGCCTGGCAGTGCTCAGGGGACCACATGGGATGCTGGGAATTGAACCCGGGTCGGCTGCATGCAAGGCAAATGCCCTACCTGCTGTGCTATCTCTTCAGCCCCCACAGTTTGCCTTTGTTTACAAACTTCACAGTATCCATGGAAAAAGATTCCCAGAGGTTTTGATTAAAATTGCATTGAAACTATAGGTTAAATTGGGAAGCACTGGTATCTTGGTGACAACTGAGTCTTCCTCTCCGTGAATACAAAATACCTCTCCATGCCCAAGTCTCTACCATCTTCTCAGAAGAACACCTCCACATCTCAACCACCCAGCCATACAGTGGTTGTACTCATCAGACCTCACTCTGCACACACCCCTACCTCCTGTCATTGGGTGAACACAGGTAGAAAAAAAAAAGCCTAACCCCTCAGATTAGGGTGAGGGGCAGAGGTAAGAGAGGCTAACTACAAAGATTCACTCTCAGCACATCTGGAACGCAGCAAAACCAATGGGGAAGATGCTGAGAAACCCACCAAGTTCAATGAATGAACATGATAACATAGAAGCTCTATCAGGATCAACCAGTTCTGTAACTTCTCAGACTGATTACCATTCTATCCTTCTATTCCGTTTACATGCATTTCAGAGTTGAAATTCCAAGACTTTGTGAGATGGTTTTTAAAAACAAGCATGATCCAGTGACTTAAGTGATCCAGGTTTATACCTATACTTTCTGTAACTCGTCATGGGAATTGGGAGGTCAGTAAATATTTTGTGTTGGAATTAATCAAACGTGTAGTTGCTACAGGAAATATAAACATGTTTTAAAGTGCAGACTTTACGAAGTGACATCTGCACTTGTTTGTTCATTGCAGCACTCTTTACAATAGCCAGAATCTGGAAAAAACCTGAGTGCCCGAGAACAGATGACTGGTTAAAGAAACTTTGGTACATCTACACAATGGAGTACTGTGTAGCTGTTAGAAAAGATGAAGTCATAAAATTTACATACAAGTGGTACTACATGGAAAGTATCATGCTAAGCGAAATGAGTCAGAAAGAGAGGGATAGACATAGAAAGATTGCATTCATCTGGGGAACATAAAGTAACAAAATAGGAGACTA